TTCTCAGCATCAAGAGAATAAATTTCAGATATATGTTGCCAAAGTAAATGTTTACCTCCATTTTACAAATATCTTGACTGTCTGCCACTACCAGAATTATAAAGGCAATTTCGTGCAGTTTTCAGAAGATGTGGAGCATCTGAAAAAAGTATATGTTTCTGTATCTTGCCCACAAATTGACAGTACGATGGCAAACATCTCTATCGCAATCACTAGCCATGTCCTTGTGCATCTTGAAAAATTTTCTGTTGGCACCAGCACATTACATGTTGCTCCAATTACCCACAGATTGCAAGTTTTCTCAAGAATATAAACAGCTTCCCAAAACAAAGGGAAAATCTGGAAACATGTAACATTTGTTGTTGCAAAATATGTTAGTTGTGATTCCACTTAGAAAAAATGTCAGAACATGAGAAGCAAGTTCATCTTCGTCTTAGAGAGTTGCAAAATTAACACTTGGGTCCCCTAAGTCTGTGAATCCAATTAGTTCTACAGTTAATGTGTCAAAAACCAAGTTAAACTAAATTTTCATTTCATCGAAGAGCAGAATAACATAACGCTCCACAGCAAAAATTCATGTGTTGTATAGATAAATTCCTGGATAACTTGCTTATTAAAGCCAGGTTTCTGTTGTATATAATTGCGATAGTCCGCAAAGTTCTTTTCCTTGGAAGAACTATAATGCCACTTTTTCTCAACTCATCATAACAAGAAAATGATTTGGCTGCAAGAGATAGACAGAAACAAATTACCATGGATGGAATCTGAGTCCCTTGGGGTTTGAGGCAAAAAGCTTCTGTTGCTGTTGCCAAAATAGGTTCATGAAGAATGTGATGTTTTTTTCATCTGTCCCACCAAATATCTTGATTATGTCTTGGCCAACTTCCTTGTCAATGAATATTGATGATTTTTCAAGCTCTGGTGTCATTTACATAATTTTATTTTCCAGCTGTAAGCACTTCAAGCGCTGTTCTTGAAGTGTTAATTTAGGGCGCTGGAGTGATGTGAAGGAAACAGGAGCTTTAAAGGCATTGAGTCATGATAAATAGACTGGGTATACACAAAGTGCCAAAATCCGCTGAGTCATGATTTCCATGACTGCGATGCTATTGGTTGACCTTGAACTGGTCACATGAACTCACCTCGTACTGATTAACATAACAGTCTCCATCAATAGCAAGTTGTCAACAACGGATGCCAATATCACATGAAACAGCAGCGATCACACCGAAACCAAATGACCCCCTATAGAGAAAGTCTATTTGTTGTTTATTGGAGTTCCGCTTCTTCACCATTAGGTGTCGCTTCTTCTCCGGTCTTCAAAATCATTGCTCTTGTTAACTCCTTCCATCCCTTCCTATCTTGGGCCAGTGTTCTCAATACTTCCAGATCTTCTTTGGTGTTGAGCTTTAACCGGTGACAGTAGTTATGTTCAGCTGTAATGGGGTCTTTATTATAATAGGCATTCAGATCATCATCATTCAGTACCTTTGGTAGAGTTGTTCTTGGTTTTCCTCTGAATCCTTTGGCTTTTATGTTTGTGAAGTATAATTCCATAGCTTTAAATGCTGGTATATTTCTGTCTCTTCTCAAGATATGACCAAATAGTTCCCACCTCTGTTTCCTCATGGTGTATGATATTGGTTTTCTCCCATCACTTCATAGAATTTCTCATTCGATATGCGTGTTGGATATTTTATTCCTAGAATTCTACGTAACTGCCTCCGGTGATAGGGATGGCGCATGAAAAAAAAGGCTGGGGGGCTGTAATGTCAGAGTGCCGACAGTGAGTAAACCACCCACAAAGTAATATAACACCATTTCCACTGTGGTAATTCTAGCTCAAAAAATAAAAGAAAAATTGAAAAAATTAAACAATAAAAAAAATCACGAAGTGGAAGTTATGAAAGTGCCGACATTGCTTTAAATTTTCCAAAAATTGAAGTGCCGACGAGGGGGCTCAATGAATTTTCGGGGGGCTCCTGGCACCCCAAGCACCCCCGGTGGCGCCACCCCTGTCGGGTGATAAGCCTATTTACCATGACTCAATGCCCTTAAAGAGTTGGATTATAAACGCCCCCACGTGTTATTCACTAAACAATTAATTCACATTTCCGCTTGTTACTGGGTTGTTCTGCTTGTTACTGGATTGTTAGCGGGTTGTTCCGCTTGTTCCTCGTTTTAGCAACAGCGGTGGGACTCTCTTAATAGGGAGAAGATTCATTTTGACGAGAGTATCTCAGTAGCTGAGCTGAAATTGTTCAGGAAAGTTGAAGATTAACTCTTAATTGATTTCGACACCGGGATAATTTTACGAGGATCCAGAACTGTATTACTCGCCGCCCTTCGTCGAAAAGCTATCACCAATGACCACAAAGGACATCAAGGTCTAGTGAGCACCAAACGATTATTGAGAGAAAAAATATGGTTTCCGGGAATAGCTGCTCTAGCAGAACTACTTATTTCATCGTGTCCATCCTGTCAAGCAACATGCTCGGACAGTAAACTAAAGCCATTAAAGATGACCAATCTGCTTCCAGGACCGTGGCATACTGTAAACATTGATTTATGTGGCCCGTTTCCTGGAGGGGAATATTATTAGTGGTAATCGATGCATACAGCCGTTTTCCTGAGGTAGAAATTGTCAAATCCACTTCATCAAATCACTTCATCCATACCAAAGCTGGAACGTATTTTTGCGACACACGGACTACCTCAATAATTTTGTTAAAAGTGATAACGGTCCTCCATTCCCTGGTCGTGAATTTTATAACTTTATGAAGGAATTAGGCACATCACATACGCCTAGTTCACCATTATGGCCACAAGGAAATGCTGAGGTGAAGAGATTTATGCAGCCTCTTCAAAAAGCCATTACCACACCTCATTTAGAAGGAAAAGATTGGAAAAGGGCTACTTTCAAATTTATGTTGAAATTTCGAGCAACGCCCCATTCGACTACTGGACACTCACTAACATCCTTGTTATCAAGATAAAATAAAAAAACTAAGATAGTCTAACTAAAACCCTCGATTTACCTCCCTTTTTGCACCCAACTTTCGGTGGAACGGGCGTTGTCCGAAACAAGACCACCATTGACAAGAGCAAGCCTTGATGAGGCGAATGAGCCGTTGCTCTTACATTTCTATCATGTTTTAGTACGGTTTCCAGCCACTTTTTCACTTTGTCATAATAAGACAAGCAGAATTTGTACATAAGTGAGAGAAGAGATTATTTGCCATCCGTAAAAATTTTGACTCAAATTGCCCAGTTTACAGTGTCTTAGTTTTCTGGCAAGCTGTGCTTTTCTTTATAGTATGGACAAATATCAGACAAGGGTGTAACCATAGAAATGGGTGTAACCATAGAAATGGGTGTAACCATAGAAATGGGTGTAACCATAGAAATGGGTGTAACCATAGAAATGGGTGTAACACATAGGGTGAAAGGAGATCGGAATCAGTTGAGAAATCCATTCTTTCCAGCCCAAGAACACGCTGGCAATTTCTACTTCGTGTCACTGATAGTCTATATCATTTTACTTCTGGAGTAGACAGATTACAAGCATAACCTGCTTTCTTGTTACAGTTACATAAGAAAAACAACAATACAGGTCCGTTGGTAGAAAACATTTGCCCTGCGAAAAGGTCCTACTTTCGTGGTTCGGGAGGGGGGAGTGGTTCGACCCTGCCCCCCATACCCGCCCCTAAAATGACGCCCCTGCTTTCATTGTTCAACCCCATCACAAAATTCAGGGCCAATGTGCTTCCAAATATTATGGGGGGGATGGCACTAATAGTTTGCTTTTCATTTGAAAAGTTTGTCTGGTATTAATCGATGAATAGCAAGCACCTACCTCTGATTACAGCATGGAGTTTGTGTCATCGTTATAGATGAATGTCACAAATACCTCATAGACTTTCCAGAAGCTTATCAAATGTGGATGTAAACAGAAAGATTCGACAAGATGTGAATGCATTGTTTGACAAGTGGTTTGGAATGTACGGGACTGTACACGTGCATTGGGCAGTGCCACGTAGAATAAGACACTTGAGCTTTCAATCTCGTCAGGATGTCGAATTTGTGTGACAAATCGAAATTATTCACTAAAAGCTGACATTGTACATAACATTTAGGATTTTCTAGCAACTACCTACAGGCATTTTCAACCGGCTTGGTGCAAATATCTTATATTTGAAAGAAAATGGGAGAAAATGCGTATTTCTATACTTGCCCATTTGGGGGATCTTAGCAGAAATGCATTTCGGAAGCCTTTAGCGAACTGTGCACTTATTGCCGCAATAAAGGCTTTTTTGGTAAAATTTGCAGCAAGAAAATAGCCCTTATGCAACTGTCATTACAGAATTCATGAGTTGAATAAACTCCCCTAGGATAATCAAATTTTTGTGCTGATGGAAAATTGAAAGGTTTGTAGAGGTCTGGGTCCAGGTACCCTTTTCATAAAATAGATTGCGGGACAATGTAAAAGATGAGATTGCTTTTATGGTTTTATGAAGCATAATCTCTGTTTCATAAGTGATTTTTGTATTTTGTTGCCGGGTACGACAGAAAAAATAATCAGCATCTTCCCTAGAGGTCTGGGACCTATGATAGACCAGGTTTATTTTGAGGTAGGTACCACCTGGAAATGGATAAAACTTTGGGGTTATTTTCAAGTACCCACATATGTAGGGGTTCATAAAGGTGATGGTGAACGGCGATCTGCTGGGACCTATAGGGTAAAAACTGGGGTGAAAAAGTTATCACTCAGACGTAATGCCTCTGTTGAGGTGAGAATGGAAAGTGTCCATTTGGATACAACACAAGTTACAGTTTTTGCTCTACAACAGTAAGCAGATTTAAGAATACGAAAGTCTGACACTTTTCATGCGAAACATTGTGAAAAGAGCTAAATATTTGTATCAGATTGTATCAGATATGATCTCAAAGATTTCACCTGAGTTCAAAAACTGATCAAAAAATGAAAAAACTGCGTATACCTTTCACAGTCACTTCCATGATACATGAAGCTTGATTGCCATAAATATCTGTAGCATTCATCGTCACTTGATTTCGAGAGTCAGACATGAATCTTGTTCCGTTTGGAGGGTCGAAGGCGATACTTGCAATACGAGTATTATCTTTGGCATACCCACTTTCCCAATAGGCGATAACCGGCAAGTCGCTTGATATGATCACGTTCTTTGGACATTCAGTTACTGGTGCTTCTTTGTCTATGGGAAAATGAACGATTGAAAAGTTATTTTCAGCATAATTAAACCTTCTTTATAGCTTATGTCGTAATTCCTCGACTAAGCATTCCCCTCCGATAAGCTATTTAGTCTTAATGGAACGGGAAAGGCATCCCGGCGCTTATTCGATGATTTACGATAAACATGGATACATATACTGATGTGTTGATTCATCTTGCAGAGAAAAAATGATGACCTTGGTTTTAAACTTTATATCCCATTGCCTTTAAGCATAAATTGTAATCAGGGTTGCCAGATCGGATTTACAAAAGAAGGCCAGACCGGTAAGCAACTCAGGCCAAAATGCTCACAAAAAAGTCAAATAAGAAATTTTTTCTCAAAAATACATTGCGCAGGCGATGTTTATATTACCTTGCTTATGCGCCTTCAATTATACTTTTACCTCAAGCAAAAAAAATTACTTCTTCTTAAAAAAAATCGTTTTCTTATAGTTAAGTAAGGTGAAATTAAATGTTTACAATAAACAGTTTACAATAAAACACTTAACTGCTAAGCATAGTAAACTACTAAATAATCCATTAATGTAGTAATTACTCTTCCAATTTAGAATCTCTGCTGAAAAAGGCTAAATAAGGTCAAACTACGCAAAATTTAAGTGGTAGGCCAAAAACAAATTTTCCAAGCAATTTGATTACAAAAAAGGCTAAATTGGAAAATTTGGCCTTCGATTGTGAAACTTGCCTGATATTTTACTAAAATAAGTTCCCAAAAAGCTAAACCAAACCAGTCATTTTACAGTTTAACGATGAAACAACAATATGAGAGTTGATAAGTACAATGATTTTCCAGATAAAACAAGTTACTTAGACTTTATAAACAATCTTGTGCAACAAGTGGGGAGAAACAAACCGATAATGTCATTTCAAAGGAAATAAAGATTTTAAAGTTTTCATAAGAAAAGGTTTCTGAAACTGCTAGTACTTGTGGAGTCGTTTAGCTTGTTAGGCAAATTTGCCTATTTTATTGCAACAATATGAGAGCAAGTTCTAAACCAAAGACTCACTTATACCATCAAGATCAGCAATTTACCTAGAACTGTTATTGCAAAAGTGCAATTGGCAATGTTTCCTTCTGCATCTTCCGCAAGATAGGTGATTGAAGTAACTCCAGGTCCTATCTGGAGAGGGGGCATCAAAATTGGCGTTACTGTCACATTCGGTGGTATTCCACTGTTGTCTGTTGCTGTTGGCACAGTCCAAGAATAGTACATGGTTGCTTCTCCTTTAGGCAAAACCAACACGGTGTTGTTGGGGCAAGTGTTTCCAAAGGAGGGAGGCTGAGATTCTAAGCAAGAAAAATCAATATGCATTATAAAATACTGCACGTCGTGATTGAAAACAAAAACTGTTGTTATTTGATAATTGTTGCTCTTTGCAAATAAGATTCATCAAGATTTTGCAAGAACAATTTTCTACAACTTTGTTCGAAAACGACGCTGTTAAACGAAAATCGACTTTGTTTGAAGGATAGTTGAAATGCAAACAAATGAACCAAAAAACGTAGATTGCAAAATGTTAAGTCAGAATTATAATGGAATGTTGTAAGCTGTGGTGTTTCTAAAATCCAGAATTCTAGCTTCACTAAGTATGGACTCGAGTAGCTATATATACTGAGAGCGATCCGGAAAGAGAAAGGATCGGATACGTGTGATAAGACAGCGTTGTCGATTGAGTTAAGAGAATTACTAAAATATTTTACGGATTTCTATTTCGACATCTTATTATAATAGACAAAATAGACAAAATCGATGAAAAAAGTTCGATATAATAAGTAAGACAAAATCAGATATTCAAATGTTTCGACTCTACCTAAAGTCATCTTCAGTGAAGTACTTACAAAAGCAAAAATTCTAGCTACTGTAAGTAGGAAAGGATATAACAATAAGGACCGAAAATGTTCATGAATGGCAAAGAGATCAGAGATTCGACATTTTGTCCGTGTTTGTCAATTCCCAAGCGCTCTCTACATCCGAGGAAAAGATTGCGAGATGTTCTACCATAGGAAGTAGCGCTGCATCAACTACACATAAACTTGTTAATATAAAAGCACAAATGGCGAACAGGGCGATCCTTACCCTGGGTACCAGATTCTCTTTATAGAATAAGAGAGTCTGGTTCAGTGCTCCCGGACCTCTAGAAAGGGAATTTTGCATAACCATCTAGCAACCTGTCTAACCTACGTTTTTAAAGTTTAAATCATAAGAGTAAAGACCGCTGATCATTTCAAGTCTTGGGAACATTCTGGCAAATGACCGGAAGTTGCGTTCCCGGAAGCATGAAAAATGCACTCTGGGCAAAATTTCGAATTTTTGTTGAAAATTTCGAAGTTTGATGATACCATAAGAAAGTATTTACAAATAATGGTTCAAAGTTGTTGTTTGTTATTTCGAAACAAATAATTGTTATTTCGAAATAATGGTTCAAAGTTTATTCTTGATATAACTTGATTAAGGATTTATGTTTTGTAGGTTGCATCCAGTAATATATCTACAAGATTTCCGAAAATTATTCGAGGAATATTCCAGTACATCAACATCTCCTGAAGAGTGAATTACTCACGAAACAGGCTTGTAGAGATAAACCATGTAGTTTTACTTTCTTCAATCTATGATATATCACGCTCTACGTGCTAACATATTGAGCACTGTGCTACGGAAGTATCAAAAGACAAATTTCTAAATTCGCTCCAAGCTAAGGCTTGTTGAGCACTCTTCGATAATCCGCAATGGAGAAATTCACTTTCGACTACTCAACAAAGAATATTCCTCTACCATCACGCAACGACTACCTACAGCGCCTAATCGAAAAGACCGAACAGTTTCTCCGGAGAATGCGTTGGAAAGCTTTCTTCTTTTTCAACCCCGAGGCGACCACTTCAACCAAGAATACATACGGCTTTACAAAGAACCCTCCCCCCATCGAAGAACTAAAAGAATTTGAAGATGACATGCTACAGATGATCCAATCAACGAAATTCAAGCAACTCAACAATCCATTTCTGAACAAACTTAAAGACGACACCAAACGCATCAATGACGAAACCAAACTGATTACCTCCGCTGACAAAATAACAAACTTCTACAAACTCGAACCAGCAACATACAACGACCTCCTGCACCAAAACATCACAAAGTCTTACAAACAAGCACAACCCAGCACCACAAAGGAAATCCATGCAATAAAAAAAAATCAACGCAGCAAAACTGGGTATCGACGACAGTGTAGACTCTACAGCTAACAAAGACGCATTCATCACACTTAAAGACCACAAACCAAACTTCACAAACAAACCAGCCTGCCGGCTAATCAACCCCACCAAGTCTGAGATAGGCAAAATCAGCAAGACGATACTCGATCGAATCAACCACAAAATCACCAATTCGCACAAATTCAATCAATGGAAGAACACAACATCGGTAATCGAATGGTTTAAAGCCACCGAAAGCAAACACAACAACACCTTCATCAGCTTCGATGTTGCAGACTTCTACCCTTCAATCACCCAAGAACTCCTAAACAGAGCACTCGACTTCGCCTCAGACTATGACAATATCACAACTGACGAACGTAACATCATCATTCATGCCAAAAACTCCATCCTTGTTCACAAAAATCAACCATGGAAAAAGAAAAATGACACCACGTTTGATGTTACAATGGGCAGCTACGACGGTGCTGAAACATGCGAGTTGGTTGGAAGCTTTCTGCTGTCACAACTACAACACCTCGACATCAATGTAGGACTATACCGAGACGACGGACTAGCCATTTCAAACTCACCACCAAGAGTCACCGAAAATATCAAAAAGAAAATATGTCAAATTTTTAGCCACAACGGACTACGCATCACGATAGAAGCCAACAAACAGATCATCAACTTCCTAGACGTCACCCTCAATCTGAAAAAGGTACCTTCCAGCCATACACAAAGCCTGACACCATCCTTCAGTATGTCCACCGCGAGAGCAACCACCCAACAACCACAGCAAAACATATACCAATCGGCATCAACAAACGTCTGTCATCACTTTCCTCTGACAAAGCATCATTCGACCAAGCCACGCCACCATACCAAAAAGCACTCAACGAAAGCGGATACAAATACACCCTACACTACGAACCAACTTCGAATACCACAAGAAAAAAACAGAAAACGTACATACTTTGGTATAACCCCCCATTCAGCAAAAACGTCAGCACCAACATCGGACACAGATTCCTCAACCTCATTGACAAACATTTCCACAAATACCACAAACTCAGAAAAATCTTCAACCGCAACACAATAAAGATCAGCTACAGCTGCATGAACAACATCAAGCAAGCCATTGACAGTCACAACAAACGCATCCTAAAGTCACACGACACCAACACCACCCCGGAAAACACCAATGTCAACAAAACATGCAACTGCCGACAAGCGAACACATGTCCACTCAACGGAAACTGCCTACAATCATCAGTCATTTACCAAGCCACCGTCACACGCAGAGACAATGACACTACAGAAACATACATCGGACTTACAGAAAACGAATTCAAGACAAGATACAGAAATCACACCGCATCTTTCCGTCACGCAAAACACAGAAATTCCACAGAACTCAGTAAATACATCTGGACCCTAAAAGACAATAACATCGACCACTCCATTTCCTGGCGCATCCTCTCAAAAAAGCCATCCTACAGCAGCTCAAACAAAAGGTGCAGCCTTTGCCTTAAAGAAAAGACCCTCATTATCTGCCACCCTGAATTATAAACACTCAACAAACGAAACGAACTTGTATCTTCTTGCCGCCATAGAAACAAAACACTATTATGAAACACCTAAATCCCTTTATGTACCGCACCTAATTCACATTATGTAACACCTTCTGTACCGTATTATCTATTTATTCGAGGAATATTCCAGTACATCAACATCTCCTGAAGAGTGAGTTACTCACGAAACAGGCTTGTAGAGATAAACCATGTAGTTTTACTTTCTTCAATCTATGATATATCACGCTCTACGTGCTAACGTATTGATCACTGTGCTACGGAAGTATCAAAAGACAAATTTCTATATATATATATATAGGTATATGTATGCGTTCCCCGCGACCCACTACATACTGTACTCAATTCTTCGTACACAACCAGGAGGCCGGGAGAGAGGAGTCTCTTGGCGAAACCATGAGAGTTGACAGGTCTGCTTATCTACTCTTGATACCTTAATGCAAATGGGCTTTCGAACGTTTCAAAATTATTCAGATAGGGCATCGCATGAAATATTAGTTGTTACTACTTTGTGATATGCAATCTAGACTTTTATCTTCAAGGCCGCATCGTGATATTGTCAATACTTTAATGCTTTTTCTGGCCATCTAAAGATTTACAAAATCGATAGTTTTTCTTGCCGACAACCAGTGGCGTGGCGGCCTTTTTTTAGCATAAGTACAAAAATTACATTTTGGGTCCCCTTTCAGAGGCCACCTCAAGGCTTTGCCGTCTATTGATCTGACTTTCTGTGTATCAAATCGCCCTAACAAATATTGGCTTTTTAATCTCAAATATACGTAATCTCCTGTTAACTACTAGAATTTAAAATATAAATACTATGCTACAGTTAGTAGCTTTTAGCTTCCCAACCACCCCCCTTCCAAAGAATGTTATTCCTTCTTGTGATATTGGCACCTAGTGGACTTGGAGCCAAATCAGTTGTGCTATGTGTATGTTCATTATCTATCCTGCCCGATGTCTTTGTTACAAGTGTGTGTTAGTTTTCTGTCTCCATCTCTACCGTTTCATATATATGTGTTAATTCACTAATGATTGCTTATACTTTTAGTAATGATGTTATTTGGAAATTAACGTTAGTTGAAGATCAGAGGCAAATAGACAAGACGTCTTTTCTCTGTGTTGCCATCTTCGGACACCGAACACGCCACATTCATGACTGTGAATCCCGCCTTGTATACACTCTTTTTACAATAACCAGTTCTTTTAATACGAACCAGTTAAGTGAGTGAAACAGCCTTCATTTGCCGACAAGTTTGAATATTCACCGAAAAAGCACCCACACATGCCTAAAAATCCTCGTTTTTGAGATAAAACGTTTTTGGAAATTGCATTTTACAGTAGCTCAGCCTCAGATTGTTCTAAGCTTCAACCAAATTTTGAGACTTGTCTTCTTATAAAATTGTTTTTATTAAAAGAGTGTGTAGCAAATTAGGCCAATCTCTCCAGTACCAACTGAGCATCATACCCTTCTATTTTATCATTTGCCTCCCTTTTTCCTTGCTATTATCCACCTTTCCAGAACTTATTTTATGAAAATATCATCTAATGTGTATATTATCTAGCAAATATAGAATCTAAGAAGAAATAATAGGCCTGCTAATTTCATCTCTAATTTAGCCTGGTAATCATGAGATCTACATTTCATTTTGACCAGCTTTTTTACACAAGCAATGTAAAAGTTGACAACTCAAGCCGATCTTCATTTTACATGAAGTAGCTCAATATTCAAAATTAGCTTCAAAGATCTTACAGCATCTCTATGCTTCGCAGCGTTATCGCTCTCTTATTTTCCCGTAAATTCCGTGGGTATTCTCTATTAAAGAAAAAGGTGGGGCAGTGTGTGGCTCGGTAGGCCTTGGTGAAGGAGCATTTTGATTGGTTCAAGTATCGTCTAGGGTATTCACTGCGTATTCATGACCGATTTCCTTTCAACATGAAGTAGCTCAATCTTCAAAATTAGCTTCAAAGATCTCCAAGTTTCTCTATGCTTCGCAGCGTTACTGTTTCATGAATTTCGTGATATTTTGTACTTGTACAAAATGTAGCATATCGAAGGCATCGAATTCAACCAGAATCAATAGCCTCAAAAGCATCTTTTATTTATTACAATTTTACGTAGCATTAATATTTTTTCTGAAAAAACTCAGGGTATTCACTGAATACCTTTCCCTACCTGTGCATCGAGGCAAAACGCCAGACCACACCAGTCCTTTGCCGCTCACAAAACTGCACGTGCGGTTTTCATCTCCAGACATAGAGTAGCCAGAGATGCAGCTATATACGACTGTTTCTCCAAAGACAGAAATTCCTTTCCTTTTGCCGTTTCTTGGAACACCAGGATCTGGGCAGAGTTGAGCTGAGAAAATGATAAAATATGATCTAAATCTTGTGCAAGTGGCAAATTTACGGATTGTTCTGTTTACAGTGAAAATTGATACAGTAATAAATTTTGGGGGCCAATTTTTTAGACCCTTACTTACAAAATTGCTTACATAAGATAAAACATGTTAGGGTATGTATAAAATGGACCTCCCAAGTTTAGCAAGCTTTTTTTAAGTGGTCATTCAGCAATTGAATCGGTTACCTTGGCAATTTGATTCATTTCCTGACCAGGTACGAAGTGAGGAACATGTTCTCTCCTGACTCCCTCCTGTCAGATTATATCCGGGTTGGCATTCATACACGATTTTATCTCCAAAAAGAGTTCCATTCAAATACACCAGTTTGCCATTGGCGATTTCCAATTGTCTTCCACATGAAATTCCTGTGATAGTATTTGTCTATAAAGTCACAATTTCTACTACAAAAATGCTTCACAACTAAATACATTTTAGAAAAAAGCTCCAATTGTTTTCCTTAAATGTTTTTTATCACCAGTTTTGGGGCCCCTGCCGCAATGGAAACAAACTTGGGAAAAATTTTTATTATAAAATGATGGGATCATCTTTAAAGAAACAAAAATCATTCAACCAGTCTGATGTTGGAGCATAGTATCTGGGGCTTCACCCTTATCCAAATTCTTAAAAGCACTAATCTCCTTTGTAATTCAATATGCCATATCACACTGAAATATCATGCAAACATATACTTGAAAATATGGAATTTAAAGTCAAAATCAATTGTTAACTCCTTTACTGATTAATCGCAACCGATTAGAATTTTAGCTGTCAGACAGTCACACAAAAATTAAAACATACTTTTGCAAATAAGGGGCAAGCCTGTCCAAAAGGCATGTGTCTCGTTTGCTAGACACACTCTTTGGAGTGATCCATTCTCTCTGATGTGTCCATCCAAGCACTCGTTATTGATTTTTGACATAAAGTTCGATCCATCTGTGACGTTGGTGATAGCATTCACCGATGCCCCAGAATCTCCACAATTGACCGCTGAAATTTAATAATAAAACTTCCTAAGCAGCAGCTTTAAATTTTCTTAAAAACTGCACATTGATTTAATGCTAAAATATATACCATTTCTTAGAAACAAACTTCCAGGTTAATAACATGATGAAAAATTGTGACAAGGCTCTATGAATAAGATTTTATTAAGCAAGTAATTCTTGACAGTACTGTTGCCTGTTGGTCATTTTCAAAAACTTAGGCCAATGGAATATCTCGTTTGCTATCAAACTTCTAAATTAAAACAATTCGCAACAATTCAATTGATTCGCGATGCTTCCAATGCTCTAAACAACGTTATAATGCACATCCAAATTTTTTTAAAAAGCCCAAGAAAACTTCGAGATTCAGCCAGTGGCGTAAAAAGAGAGGGGTCAGGGGAGCCAAAAACCATCCTGTAAAGCCAAACAGCTATTTTGTCAGAGAATTACTGTCGGAAATATAACATTATTTTCTATCTTTATCCAAGTGTTTCATTTGAGAGGACCGTCTTTAGTAGAACGATTCCTTTAGTTGTTCTGAATAAGATGTGCAACTTAAAAATGCCTTTTGCGAAGAAAAGACAGTAAAATCTTCAATTAGTATGATTTATGACACATGACTTTGGGTCAATGATTAGACCTCAATCCTGGACAAAAGGTTATGAGACAATTACTTTTTAAGTGATTTTCTGTGTAATTGCCCTCAAAACCAGTGGTATGCCCCTCCCCCCAATGTCAATGTTGATGGTGGGTAATGGCAGTTGATTGTGGATGCAAGAAAACCTAAAAAATCAACATCAACATTGATAATGGGGGCAGGGGGCTGGGTGCTTTTGCAATAAATGATTATAACAGCAAATGTCTCCTAACTTTTGTCCAGTATTGTTGTTTCAGTTCTAATATCTCTTGTTTTATGTCAGTTCTAATGTCGTTATGTTTTGAATATGTGTCACAACATTTTTGAAATTGTGTCAAATGCTCACCAATATGGTACACAGCATGTCACAAGAAATGTCATTTTTTATACAAAAATACTTTTCAATCAAATATCAGATCGTGCATTTCCTTGGTGCTAAATTTTTGAAACAATATTCCAGTGGATATAAAAAGATCATTGTCTGTTGTCATTTTTTGTCAAAAGAACTATCAAATTAGATTCTAAAGCGAAATATATTATTCTGTCACTCGTGTAAATGATCAATTACATTTAAAGCCACATTAGAAATAGGGGTGTTCTCTCTTCTATTATTTCATCTACTGAGAGAACTTTTCCTAAAGAAAATCCCCTGCAAGCAACATCTTACGTAATTGTTATTTATTGCCTGTTATTATCAGTATTTTGTGCAATGTATGAATTAGTTGCAATGGAGTTGTAGTAAGATATTGTAGTAGAGGAATTTTAGAATATAAAAACTGAACTGAACTTTGTTCAAATGTATGAAAAAATTAAAATGTTTTATAGATATTTGCCGGAGAATCTCAGTTTTTCACCCCTCCTATGAAATTTCCTATCTACGCCACTGGATTCAGCCCTAGATGTTGTTTAATCAAAACACAATTTAAGGTTAGAATAAATTAAACTCACCATTACACGTAGCATAGCCACCACTCCAGTTGCCCGATTTCAAGCACCGAATCTCTTTTGGCCCAGTACGTAAATATCCAGCATTACATTGAGAAATAACAAGCGCTGGATGTCGGAAGGATGAAAACGCTCTAACCCCATTCACCAGGGGTGGTGGTGGTGGGCACTTGACACCTAGGGAAAATTTCATTACTTTTTAGAGGTACAGTAATAAGATTATTTCCGCTTCCCTGATATTGGGTGCCGTTACCGCCAAAATTGTGTAAATGCTTTTTCGTAAAATTGTACCTTGCATTTATAAAATGGTACCATTTGTTTTCTGAAATTGTACCCTCTGTTTCATCAAATGGTACCTTTTGCTTCATTCAATTGTACCTCGTTTCGAAAAATGGTACTCGCTATTTTATAAAAAGGTACGCTTTCTTTTGTAAAATGGTACCCTCTGTTTTTAAAATGGTACCAGTTGTTTGTGAAATGGTACTCCTATGCTATAAAATGGCATTTTTCATCTTTGTAAAATGGTACTCCCTGATTTATTAAATTGTACTTCCTGTTTCATAGCATGGTAGAATTTGTCGTAACCTGATATCCTTTTGTATTACTAGGAGCCTGGAACTACCAAACATAGAGTATCAAGAGTACTAAGACACAATAGGCCCGAGGACCTGAAATGACTTCTTTTGAAAGCACAATGGAAAAGCTCAGAGAAATTGTACGCCAATGTATCGAAAAAGTATGTTCTAGTTTAAATGCTAATAATAATATTGATTTTGGTGATGTTTCGATAACTGTTGACTTAGTTGTGGATGCCATCAGTTTCATTGACTCAGTAACACGCTTGCCTGATGACATCTATTCAGACGCTGTAGCTGCACGAAAGTCGATAGAAGATGCCAGCAAAATGGCTAGGGTGCCATTAACCTATAACGGACACCAGGGTAGACCATCTTTTGGCGTTTTGGAGCTGCAGATTTCGTTTCTACTGGACTTGGGGTTCTCTGTCCTGCAAATCAGCAGCCTGTTGAATGTTTTCACGAGGAAAGTTGAAAGACGAATTAAATTTTACAGCTTGATGGCAAGGGAACACAGCCAAATTCCTGATGAGGCCTTGGATGTTAGAGCTGGAGAAGTATAACAGTTCAATCCAAATTGTAGTTCAAATGTCCTTGCCGGTTATTTTGCAGCACAAAGTATAAAGGTTTCGAGGGTACCGAATCGCAGTCTTTACTAAGAGTCGATCCAATTGGTGTAAAGGCTCTGATTGAAGAGAAGCTCTGGCATCACTGGCCTGCCACCACGGAGAACAGAAACATTCCAACCAAGCTAATTTAATCATTTGTTGAAAAAGAATGCAGAGAGCCATGGCATGGCAAACACACCCGACGTTCAGGAGCTGAGTTCGGAGAGCCATCTTGGATACAGCAAAGCTCCGCTCTCTTTCACGCTTGTAACGTCAGAATGTCACCAAATTGATTCGGCTTTTGTCGTCGTTTTTTTCTCGGAAAGGTGCAACTTTAAAGCCTTATAACTTCTAAACTAATTGGGATTTTGCAAAAATAATTACTTTGCTATAACACATGCACCAGATACTTATATTTTAGTAAATAATTTTTTTTTCATGGCTAGAGAGGCCCTTTAATGTCTAGCAGCTTACCTAAACAAGTGCGGTTGACAGTCACTTCTTGAACCAAACTTTCCTTGCCATCATACAAATAGTATCCTTCTAAGCAACTGCAGTGATAGCTCCCAGTTGTATTAGTACAGTTGTGGGCACATCCACCATTGTTAACTGCACATTCGTCAATATCTATCAAGAAGAAGAATAACTCTTAAAGGCACTTTGCCCTGTCTCTCGACCAAAAATGTTGACAATAGGCCTTGCAGCGGGTACATTATCGTGAAAACGTTCTGAAAGTCTTGCCGATTGAAAACGTTACAATAGGTCTATTGGATAGTCCAGCCAATGGGATTTTAAATAGTCATCGAAATCCGTCGGGACAAAGTGCCTTTAAAAGAATAAATCTCAAATAATTAACAATAAGAAAACAATTAACAGAGGTCTCTAAGAAAGGCCAAGTTTTGAAACGTTTTCAAAACATAATAATTTTTAAATTAAAAACAACAATGATCTTTTCTCCTGTTATGTTATTTAGAGAATCGAAGCTTCACAGCGGGGTAAAAACTTTCTACTTATTGGAATCTGCTATTGTTGGTATTTTCTTGATTTTCATCGTCAACTTTTTTATTAAACGTTAACTAAGCAGAAATAAACTGAAAGAAAACACATCGTATAAAGTTCTTAGTAAAGTTCTTAGAGTCCAACATTGTTATATAATATCAGATCCGTGGTATCGAAGCCAAAAATACGTTTTCATGCTAAGATTAGTGGCCTTGACAGTGAATGAAAAATCGCAAGAAATTTTAATATAGTTTCGCTTAACTATAAAGTTAATCTTTTTAACCTTCACAAGTGTCCTCCTGTCCTTTAACTTTCTGGTATCCTGCTCTACAGCTACATATGTACGACCCAACAGTGTTGGTACAGAAAGCTCCAGGTCCTTTGCAAGGTACATTGCTACATTCGTTGATGTCTATAAACGTAATGAATAATGGAGAATCTAGCAAAATTATAGGCTTCTAAACAATCTCACGTAAATATAATTCGAGTAAAAAACTCCTGCACAGTCAAAGAGCTTTCCAGGCAAGATGAGATATCTTTGTGATAGAAAAGCTGCAAGATTAATGTAAATAAATAAATGCGAGAACACCAAGAGCATCGATTGGATCGCAAATAAAGATAGGAAAAGCAAAACTTTTGTGCCCTCTTATTAAGCATTGAATACCAATGGTGACAAATACCAAAACTTGTTTGCTTGTTTGCAAATCATTCAATATTAAAAAATGATGAAAAACGAGAAAAAACAACAGTTCTGTTTCCAATAAAGATCAAGTAGGTAGTTCGTTTTGTGTAACAGTATGTGAAAACACGAATTACCAAAACATTGAGGAGCAGTGTGGTTGAAAGTTTCATTAGCTTGGCAAATGATCGACTCTGATTCTCTCATGCGATAGCCTCTATTGCAAGCAAAGCTAAGCATTTCGCCATAATTGATTCGAACAGGAACTGTGCTGTTTGGGCCTAGCAAGTATTTTCCATTGACTGGTGCTGGTACGACCATGCAGAAGACAGCTAAAATGCAAACATTTATAAACAAATTCAATTCACTTCAGTCCGTCTGAAATTTCACGTAAATATAGGAAATACACGATGAATTAATGATTAAGAGCTTAAAATACTTACGAAAGTCAAACTTGATGAAATATTTGTAGTTTAGTTGCACTTTTGCAATTGTGTTATTAAGCATTGAAAATAATTGTCAACAAGCAAAGTGAATGAAACAAAAGAATCGTTAGGTCTTAGCCAGGGTCCTTGTTAAATTTGAGACATGAGTGACGTAGGCCAATATTTCTCACTTTGGCACAATGCTTCCCCGAAATTAATTGTAAAATCCATTTTCTTTGATCACTGTATAAGGAATTGAGAGGTATATGATCACTTTAGTGGGGCATTGTGAGGTATAACTCAAATACCAAAGGAAACACAGATGAAGAAAATACAAGATGAAATTTGTAAAATGAATCAACGGTTGGCAGTGTTAGGTCAACAATCTAAAAAGCTGGGAGCTAAAAATTGCTGAAATAATAACGGAAGGTGGAAATAAGGACAAGGAAAAGGTACCGAGCAAATGGAAGCCTTTTAATTGTGTTCCCCTATCGACAAAGAACCCGCAAAGAAACTATTCACAGTCTAACAAATCTGTTCGAGAATCCGAAAATCCCTATAGAGATTATAGGGATTTTAAAAATCCCAAAAATCTCGTTTGCTATTTCAGGTAGTGAAATGCATCTCGCTTGAAGTGGGAGCAACTATGTCAAGGCAAACAGGATAACTACATCACAAAAGTTGATACATGAACAGTAGTGGATGGGGGGGGGGGGGGCTTTAGCTGGTATTAAAAGTATTGGTCTAGAACAAATTTCATTCTCAGATGAAAGGGACTAGAATTTTTTAAAATCGCAAAAAGATTTTTTTGCTCTTCTGTCTGCCGCAAAATTGTTAAGCAAAAGTTCTCAAATGCTTAGTAGCTATAATCAGCAGCATATTTCCTATTAATTGTGGTTTATTTCTAACTTTGAACTAAAGGATGATAATTTCGAGAAGTCTCCCTTTAACCAACTTTAATTATATAAAAACGATGATCATATTACGTACGTTTGCATGTGGGAATTGGTCCGGACCACTTTCCCTCTGCCCCACAAATTATGGTTTTTGGCCCGTGCAAGTTGTATCCGTAGTCGCAAGTGAAAGACATTACTGCACTGACATTAGTATTGCTCGTGCTTCTTGCTCCATTTGCAGGTGTCCCAGGGTCTCCACAACCAACGTCTAGGGGGAAAGTGAGCAATCAAATCGATGTCATTACATACTCATTCAACATTCCGCCTGCATTTGGTTACCCAGGGTAGCATTAGGTGAACCTTGAAACTTAACAATGATCCTCGAATACCGTAAATCCTCGAATAAGCCCCCGGGGGTTATTTGTAAAATGAATCTTTAGGTGAGGGCTTATTCAAGGGGGCGCTATATATAAGGGGGGTGTAGCCGAAGATAAAACTAGAGAAAAAATATTCCTTTTTCGGTTACTTGGTTGAGAACTACCATTAAATAAAGCATAACAAGGGGAACACAACATGATTACGAGATTACGCAATGTTTAATTAACGGATATAAAGGTTACGGGGGCATCCATCAACCGGGGGGGGGTGTGACTAAAGGGATATCTCTTACAACAAGCTATTGGCAGGATTTATTCTGCATTTCTACTAAATTTCGATATTACGGAGGGGAGCATATTGCTGAAGAACTTTTTCTTGAGATTCTAGGGCGTCCATTGCTAAAACTGGTGATTTCTTTTGAAAAGGTTTGAAATGCTACTATTTCCCCTATTCCTCGCCGCAGCAAAAATCTAAAATATATCTAAAACAACAAACAGATGTAGAGAATATGGTTAATGAGCTTACCTATACAATTTGGCAAAGATCCGGACCACAGTCCATTTTCTTGACAATGACGAACTCGACTTTCGTTCAACTGGTACCCCCCAAAACAAGAGTATGTTGCTGTGCTATTGAAGTTGTAACTGCCATCGATTTGATAAACGCCATTTGCGATGATTCCGGGGGGACCACAAATGATTTCTGTCATAAAACAGGACATTTAATTAATTGACAAGAAAATACCAATAGTTCAAAAACAGATTCAGAAATTTAGAGACAAAATTACGGTTGATTTAATGTAAAATTACAAGGTGATTGAGGAGAATACCTTGGCATTTTGGAGCTTTCGCAGACCACATTCCTCCAAAAAGACAAGTTGTTGTCACACTGACATTAAGCCTATAGCCACTGTTGCATTTGTAAGTAACCCGAACTCCAAAGTTTGTTTGCACTGTGCTTATGGATCCATGCTCTGGAACCACTAACTTGGGGCATCCTACCAAACAAAACATCAAAGTAAGATTGATTGTGAGCAAAAAAGAAGAATACAACATTCTACTTATTACTAGACAACCTTAAAAAAGATTTCTAACCTTAAAAACATGGAAAACTGAAATGACATCAAAATGGCAGACAGCTGTCAAGACATTAAAAAAAGAGTAGGAGGGAGGGAATGGTGAATATCTGTCATTTACTCTATTCTCAGAACTAAGATTGTAATAAAACCCAGAGACGTGACTTGGCGAGAAAATGATATAGAAATTAAAAAGAGATTTGATTTGACGACGTGCCCACGACCTTGTAACGTACCAACGGAGAAAGAAATTCGAAATCCCTTTTTTCTGTAGCTGTTATCTGACTTAAAGGTAAAATCTAATTGTGACGTAGCTGTAGCTAGGATCCAGGCCTCCGAAGCCTGCCTCGCAAGTTCTCCAGAATATCGTTTGATCGAGGCACCAGTGTTGCCATTCAGCACATCCAAAACATCAAAGTCCAATTCAGTGTCGAAAAAATGAAACAATAAGCCGATGTTTCTTCCGTTTGGTTCGTTGATTTTCCATGTGCAATCTGACATATTTGGGTAGTTTTTATAGCCAAATCCTGGACTGGAAATTACACCTTTCGTTGCATTAAGTTCGATGTTACAACCTGGAAGGTAAATGAAAGAAGTCTCAGTAGCCTCTATCAGGAATGGGCAGAAAATATAGTTGCAGAACAAAAACAAGCTACAAAACTCAAATGACATTTATAGCATCTGCTGGCCTACCAGGAAAGCGGTGGCAATAACATCATCGCATTATATTTATTTTAAGCTGTTTTTTACTGGGTTATTTAGAAAACGAATCTTGTTCTAACTTAAGATTGCAGTGAATGGAAAAGCTTTTCACGAAAATTCCAACATTGCATCAACAATATGCTCTATGTTACCACAAAGGGCATTCTACCTACCTCCGTACACGACTGCCTTAAAACCTCTACTACCATTGGCGCGATCTGACGTGAACTTCATCGTGAGTCCTGCTCCAGTCGAAATGAACATTTGACCAGTCTGTGCGCCTGACAATCTGGCGATCAATTTATCTGTGCTCAAAACACCATCCCTTATGTCTACCGCATCATTAATAAGTTCGGTTTCAAAGTCAACAAAATGGAGGCTCAGTACACTGTTTGGGTCGGCAGTAATCGTCCAAGTGCATTTGGAATTTGTTGGATAATGTAAAGGATATTTTGGTGAAATGATTTCCCGCATTTGACCTTTACCAACATTCAATGCTTCTCCACAGGAAGAGTCATTCACTGAAGTAAGATAAGAAATCAGAACCCTTAAGGTTTACGAAACTCACATCAATTCAGACTAGAATGGACAGTATTTATCTACTTTCTAAGAATTTGGCATTTGCATTTTGTGGCAAATGACTATCGATGGGCAAAGCGACGTGAAATATTTTATTCCTCGAAGATACCTTTTTCGGGGCTCATGCTAGGAGAGATGTACAAAAAAACAAAACAAAATATCCGAAAAGAAACATCCGAAACAACTACCCAGCAAGCACTAACTTCAGTATTGGCAAGAAATCAGTTTTCAAAGCTGCGTTATCTTCTAGTCATCCTTGTTTACACTTTTAACCGTCCAATGCCAACGCATTATCTCAACATTGGTTACAATGAAAAACTTCATGGTAGAATCATAATGGTCTATGGCAGACTAGACCAAATGGTGAATATGATAGCGGCATTCAAAGGGCCGAATAAGTAGAGCTCAATTAAGTTACCCTTCATCTGGACAGTAAGCAGAAAGTATTAAAAAATATATTGACATGCAAATGCGCGGTAGCTGAGCTTTTTTTCGACGCCATTCCTTCTCGCGACAATTCCATAAAACTCAGGCTGCACAGTATATTAGCTTCCAAATATGTATTATTTTTAATAGGCTGCACAGGATAATGCAAAGCTATAATATTTTATGTGGATATAATAAGCAAAAGAAACGATTGATTGTTTGAAATTCACTCACCTGTGCTGTAGTTAGCCAAGAACCCTTTCTTCTCGATGTTTTTGTCAGATACAAATCGGACCAGCATTTGGTTACCAGATGACAGCAAAGGTGTCACCTTGCCTAGACCCATCAATCGAGCAATGATCTTTGAAGACGAGGTTGGCCCATCGTAAACATAAACATAATCGAACCCAGGCTCCAGGTGAATTTCTTTGAATGACAGTTCCACTTTTGACTTCAAAGGAACCGTGATCTTCCAAGTGCACTCTGAATCAGATGGGTAAAACTTAGGATACTCTGGTGACATAAAAGAGCCATTTGTTCCTTCAAGCTTCCCTCCGCAGTGTTCTAAAAAGAAAACTTAACACACACTCATCTGAATCTTTCATTGTTGTTCACTATAAACGAAAGAATTAAAATCCGCAAAGTTGTTAATCACGTAAACGCGGAGGCATAGAGCGAAGGGACGCCAGGGGGGGGGGCTGAGCTAAATCTGATGGTTAAAAATAACATAGGTTTGGCATCCAGAACAACAGAACATAATTAACAAAAGACAACGACTTATTCATAGATTTAAAATGATTAGAGAAAATGATGATGCGTTTAGCTACGGTTGAAATTCAAATCCAGTCAATGCTCTGAAAATGGGAATAATTTGATGCCTTGAAGCCGCTTATATATAAAACAATATCGACGTATACAAATGAGCAATGAGGCAAGTCAACTAGTCCTTGAAACGTCTTAAATCTGTTTAATAATGCCTGTTGCGTTAAGAAAATACATGGGGTTTCTTGACAGATATGTAGTGGTAGGCCTAAGCTAATAAATAAGGGCTCTAATGGCAACGGTAAGTTGAAGGCGATTCAAAAAATCTTTTTCAAACCACCTCTCTTTCTCTTTCAAAAATATCTTTCTTCTTAGTCATAAATTGTGACAAGATATGAAACCACCAACTTTAAACTACGTGTCAAATGTTTCTAAAAAAATTGACAACGATCATGCAAATTGGCATTTTTTAATTATAAAATAAAGGAATTAAAGGAAAAAAAGACTTTGGGAAAGTCTAAAAAACAACAGGCACGCACTGCAATTTCTCTCATCCGATTTGTCTCCGCAATCATTGACACGGTCGCACACCGCATACTTTGTAATGCACTTTCCATTGTCACATCGAAATTGCCCTGCAAACAATTACATAATTTGAGAAATGGCCTAAAACAATTCACATTAGATTCAACTAAAGAAAGATTAGTTTTTAAGCTGCAATATTTTGTTTCGCTTTTGCGTTCCGTAACAAGTACCAGGGGCGGATCCAGCAAAAAACCTGACTGAGTTCCAGGTCAAGGCTAGGGTCTTTCAGATAATGCATTGATCATTGTGCGTAAGACAACATTATTATTCATATTTATGCATTTTGGTACCATTGCGGGATAGGGAGGGGGGGTAAGTACTATCTACTCAATAAATCTTAGATTCTATATTTCTTTCCGACAAAAAACAGTGCCTCTGTGAAAAATGTTTCAACCCCCTCCCTTTCTCAATACCCTTTGTTTGTTTTGGATGCCACAGCAAAGTTTTTCCCTTTTGTTTTGCTCGTAATTTGTTGTTTTGCCTCCGTAGACACCAGCCTATTCATCAAAATATGATTTTCCGTCTGAGCATAGGTTTTCCGTTCCATCAAAGACGGCAATTTAAAGCAAAGGTAGTTAACACTGGAAAATTAACGATATCTCCTGGTTTTATCAAACGCTTAATAATCTGCTAGAATGCTGCGATGGTCGTGAGTATAAGACATCTGCAGTGGCCATTTTGAATTCAATGTTTTGCAGTTCCACAATAAAACGGAAACGATAGGTAGCCAATCAACTACGGGCCATTGTACAGCTTTCTTACAAATATGGTATCATTTCCGAGTTCCAGATGCTGTTTTGACTGAGTTCCATCCGTGTTCCAAACAAAAAGTTTATTTTTTCAATTCATTCACTTCCGAGGCACAAAACGTTTATTTCCGAGTTCTAGGAATGACTGCTGTTGTCCTCCACAGCGTCTGGAAAATCGTTTCCAAATCACGACAGAGAAGAAACTGGCAAGATTTTGAAGAGACTGAGAAACTTAGAATTTTTAGGTTAAAATTCGTAATTTAAATATTACTTGTTTCAGGCAACACTATTTTTAGCTGTATGTTGGAAAACTGACTGAGTTCTGTGCCCCAAGGAACTCACTCTGGATCCGCCTCTGAGTACAACAGTACAACGGTCTAAAAAGATCAATGGCCTTAATTTTTGCCATGCTTTCTGGCCCGCCCTTGCCTTGCAACTTATTCAAAGGGATTCCAAATCAACGCCACATATCATATCATATATCCATAGCAAATAAGTTTCACATTTGTTCTTGTTCTTCAAGGATGAATGTTCACTAAAAAAGAAAAAGAAAATTTAATTCAAAAATATACCTTTGTAACAAGCGTTGACCTACGAAAGAAATGACTGGAATTAACTGTCGTTTAAACATTTTCTATAGACAAAAAAATTTTTCAAAAGTTCATGGGTAGTGGAATATTGGGTATAATCCAAAAATGGGAGATAGACCAGACGGAAATGGCGGGGAGTACCACTTTGGGGCGGGGAAATTTTGGATAGCAGTTTCGAGCTCTTTATCAACTGGTGATATTGAATTGAGATGATAAACGGGGATTTGCCGCTGTTTTTGGGGTAAAATGGGGGTTGAATCAGGAGGGGTTTCTGCTTATCCTCTGCGGAGAAGAAACGTGGCTGGAATGACGTTGTTAATCAAATAAATTTTATCTTAGCAGTGGAATATGAAGGATAGTATATCTTTTTAGGTAGAAATACGTTAAAAGTAGTAAAATGAGCTTTAATTTGCCACGTGACGCCTAATTACCCCCGTGTCTAATTACTCACTGCAGAGGGGATTTGTTGGGCGCTAAACATACATCGCAGATTCTTTTCTTTGGTAAAAACATTTCTGGCATTTATGGAAAAGGCTCTTTCGATGCAATTTTTTGCCTCAGCTCCCTGTGCAATAATTGCATAAAAAGGATCAATTTTTGGTGCCGAGAACAAACAGTGATAAAAAATGACGCGAATGGTCGTAACATTAATTCCGTACCAAACCGTGATTTGCACTGAAGGTGACAAGTTTCTCATTAAACGATTTTTTGCGGTTAAATGTATCATAAGTGCTCTTTCATTTCTACCATTTTACAATGATAATTGTATATAAGCTTGATATAAAAAGTTTTAAACAAGCATTTGTTTAAGGCAAATAGTAGGTTTAAAACAAAAATAAGAATTCTCGTCGTGATAAAATCTGCATTTCAAGCATAAACAATACGAAAATGTATTAGGACGAAAGGTTTATTGGAAAACCTTATCTGAGGCAAAAAAAATCGCACCTTGAATATTGGAGTAATCTATAGCTTATTATTGATAATTCTTTAATTTAACCATAGAGATAGTAATCTCTTTGAAGTTAACTAGTAATATCAATTCTTCTAGCCCTAAACCTGAAACTGCTTTAGTTTTGAAAATTTTAAAAATTGTAAGCAAAATTGAGCTAGTTGACATCACGTTGTCATCTAAAAAGGGTGCTTTGGTGCATTTCTTCGACCCCTTGTTACAAAATAGGGTGAGTGTACATTATCTTTGCAGCAACTTTATGAGCAAGGGAGCTCCTTTGCTTACAAAACAATGCTGAAGACTTGCATGATGCCCAACTGCATCGTTTCTAGCTAAATAAACAAGTTGCTGGCTAAACAAAGGGTGACGTGACGTTACCACTGAATTTGGGCAATTTTCCATAACAAATCGCCCTAGTGACTGATTTTTCCATAACAAATCGGCTCTGACAAAGTTGGACAATTGACTTTTCTATCAAGGAACAACCGAGCCTCCATAACTTATGCTTTAGATCTTCAGAACCCCTTTCTCCCCTTTTATAAATTTTCCTTTTTTATACAACCAAACAAAAAAATACAGTGAAATCGACTGATGATGATAGGTAGCCCATCAAGATGACTAGAAGCTCGTCTAGGCTTATCAAGAGGCCTATTTTTAATGTGTGTCACAAGCCGGAACTAAAGCATACCTGACAGATAAAGGTTTGCTCGTCCTCACAGAAATTGTCTGTCCACAAGAATCTGCGTTTTCCTCGCGTTTGCAGTTCGACGCAGTCTTGGCCCGGGGATTCATCATCAGGCTCCCCCGGAGCAAACCACCGGAAACTGTACTTGTTAGCTCTAGTTCCATCAGACCATTTGAATGTGCCTTCGGTTCTGCGATCGTTAGCACCTGGTTAAAAATGCAAGCTAATTAATGCTATACAGTAAATGAAAATGATAGAAATTGAGAATTTTCTGTATCTCATTGTTTCTTCACACCCTAGTTAATTGATTGTACAAGGACAATTCAAACATATACACGAGCAGAAATATCCCAATCTAGCGAAATAGGCAGATCCCAATTATGTGACATAGATTCACAGAGTAAAAATAAAAACAGACTAAGACAAATGAAACGAGGAATCTTACCGATCCATACTGTTCTTCGCCTCCGATCGAAATACCTCACGATGCGGAACATGAAGTAGTTGGTTGCCCAGTCACGAATTGTGACCAAATCACTCCCAAGACTAAAGACGAACAGTTATGCTATTATTAAAACAGCAGGTAATGAGAATGAATGAGAATTCGGAAGGAGCGTCGAGATGGGGTTAGGCGGGGCAAAAAGTCCTTTAACAGCTTTTTTGTGAATTGTTTCTCTGGTGCTCAGAAAGACGGAATTGCATGGTCACATAGAAATTTTTTAATAGGGGCATGTTAAATCACTTCAGTTCCTGAGCTGCTTTTCTGCCGCCCTGGAGTGGGATAATAAAGACTTGCTTGTATAAGAAAAACGTACGAAACAGTCAAAGACCTTTGAGGTTATTATTGGGTTTATTTGAGTCTTCACTTTTCACCTTACTTTTCTGAAATGAAACCAAACCAGAAAGGTAGACTAGACTTAATAATGCATATCTCTGCTACCACAAAGTATTCTCAAAACTTCATAAAAAATCTGTGAAAAAGCATCACTTTTTAACATTATTAAACCTTGGTTTCAACATTAGTCTACAACAAAAACCAATTTTGAATGGCTGTTGAGAAGAGAAAATAAGCAATGCTCAATAACTGTTTTAACATTTGTTCAAAATTAATTTTAAAACGGAACTAAATCCATTAACCATCAAAAGGGCCGCAGTTTTTTTGTCTCTTAGAAAATTAGTATCATAACATTACAGCAATTAGTTTTTTATCGAATTGATAAGTCGCTCGATAAGTGGAATTTATGGTCAAACAGTTTTGTTGTGAAGTATCGGGCAGGTGCTAAGTCAAACCGATTCCTTGGACACATAAAAAAAGAACAAAGTTCGATAAAAAAGAAATAACGCGACGACTTCAATACCTTCTGCAGTAATATTGGGCGCCCAGCCATTGCATTGGCTGGTTGACATATAAGTAGCATCGGTTGCATCTCTGAACCCATCCTTAAAAATTGAAAAGGACAAAATCGTCAAACATGCATTGCTTCATTAGATTTGAGGCCTTTTAGGACCCTGTTCATTCTATCCTTGAGAGAAAAAGTACTTTTTTCAACCCATTAGATACCTGGCATTAAAAGCAATTGGTAATAGTGAAATTGTGCAATCAATCAACCAACTAACAGCTAACTTGATACATGAGCTGATATTTGCAAAGTACTAATGTTAACCTTCGAGAGGCTAGAACTTTGGGAAAAAGAAAAGGAGAGATTGATTCATCAGCGACATCTATATGCAAGGAATGCATACAATTACCCTGGGTACCAGACTCACTATATAAAATAATAGAGTGTCTGGTCCAGTGCACCTTATTCTCGTTCTGGTGAACTTACTTGAAAGAGCTGTAGTCAGTTTAACAGACTAGGCCTATGAAACAAGACTGTCGGATAAATTACAAAGCTACTCAGTAGTCAGAGAGTCAGAGAGGTTTTGAGAAAGAGGAGTTTTTGACAAGATATTTTGTTTCAATCCCTAAAAGCCAAACTATTAACGGAATCAGATTGAGGCCTGGTTCAAATGTCGCACTTCTCATGTGCTGAACCTAACTCTGCTTGGAGCGACACTTGAGCATGTTTAGCGCGACTCCCGTTTCAAACGTCGAACTTAATCATGTCGCGCCAAATGGGTTTTAGGATTGTTACATGAAGTATCTTGGTTAAGGCACGCAATCTCAAATATTTGTTTGAAACGCATGCGCCCTCCAAGAAAGAAATGAATTCTGGGAAGGAAAATGAGTTAAAAATGATTATTTATTGAGTTCGGTACATGACAAGTTCGACGTTTGAAACCGTGCCGTGCTGGAGCCGTGCAGCTCGGCAAGCTCTGCCGATCCAAACTAGTCTGCTGCTTCTAACTAAATCTGCCGTACCAAATTGATTCAAACGACACGCCCCTCATGTACTTAATTCTCGAGTTAGGTTTGGCACATGAGAAGCGCGACGTTTGAACCAGGCCTAAGCTATACATCATTCGATGCACAAGAATGTGGCAATTCCAACGTGGCAATTTTAATATAATTGGCAAATATTGTAAAATGATACTTTCCAAACAAATTTATTGCTTAAATGAGTGTACCACCTTCAAAAGCTATTTTGTACCCTTGCGTTTGAGGTATCAAAATCTGACTTATATCAGCAAAAAGCGCAGATCCTAAGCTACGAAAGTGTGTCTCAGATTTTTCAAATTCACCTTCCCTTGAAACTGTACCCTGTCAAAAATCGGCAAACAATTTTTCTACCCTCTCATAGCTTTATTTGGCTATAAAAGAGGGACCAAAGTAAATACAAAAATTTTGAGACACATTTCGCTTAACCGACATCTGTCCTGGACGTGTGCAAATTTTTGAGCCATTCGATTGGTTCCTTGGGTACAGTAATTTTTCGTACCTGTATGTAGAAGATTTGTGAGTCCAGAGAAAACGGGATTTTACTGATCACGCTTGCAAGGTACACTCGTAAAACACAGTGTAATCCGGGTCAAGACACTTGAAGCTTTAAGATCAATAAGTATGGGGGCCCGTTTAGTTCAAAAGCACATTGAATAAATAAAATGAAAGCTAAATACATTCATGCATATTGAATTAAATTCACTGTACTTCAATTACTTTTAGATGATACAAAATTAATAATGGAAGTTTTTCAATAAATTGTCGTAGTCGCTAAAAATTAATTATTTGATACTGATACAATTAATTATCGTGTAAGTTAAGAATTAATTATTAGACATAAGAATAATAAAGCATTGTGCAAGCTAAGAATTAATTTTTGGACTAACGCAGAATTATCAGGTTAATCCCAGAATTCACTTCTTCCATCAAACTTCGTTTTTGGCGCCAAACTTGATTGCTCAAACAAAACTAACAAGGACCTAACAAGGGCCTAAAACTGGATATCATAATGCCAAGGCATTAACAAAAAAAGGGGAAAACGAGAGCTATTGAACCTCTAAAAAAAAGAAGAAGGAGAACCTATGTTTGATGACAATGAAGTAGCAAGTCTTATGAATGACTTTTTTGCAAACATTGGTGAAAAGCTGGCAAAGAATCGTGGTTAAACAGAACAATCACAAATCGAGTATATATATACAATCACCCCAGGGCTATTTTTAACATACTAGCTGGGGGATAATTATCCCACCTTCCCTCGACTTTGCCCCCGCATTCAAAAACTTTTTGACCCCAGAAAGTAGTCCCTTGTTTGCCGCCACAATTTTGTCGTAAACAAACTCAAGACTGAAGGAAATTAGTTGATCTAAACAAAATGAGGAATTTTAGCAAAGTATTTTTTTGGCTCATTCTTTCTGAGAGTGTCTGATTTAATTGAATAATCCAAGCATATTGAGAGGATCAAGTGAACGAGTTTTCAGATACCGTCTTCGAGGCTTTTGCTGATTTCAGGCCCATCACTGCGCTTTTGGAAATAAACTATTCAACTAGAATTTTATACATGCTCAAAATGGACTTGTTCAAAGTCTGCTGTCTGCCATTCTCGTTGTACCACTTGACAGTATGACCGTCGAAAAGTTTCTACATACAACATTTTATATTCAAAATTAAGGGGATCCACACTTCAACCAACATGCGATGCATGGCCAGCCATAGCAAGACTTTTTCAGAAAAAGGATTGTCGTGAATCAAGGCCAAGTGTAGAAACTTACAAAAATAGAAAACTTTATTCTAAATTGTTTGAATGGATTTATTGTGACTTTGGTCAAATTTTTACTTTTGACGAATATCTGAACTTCAATGGCTAACACAAAATTGTTTCATTTTTTATAAAGCTACCTAGGAAATAAGAAACTATACGTAGTGTTGAATGGAGTAAAATCTGAGATAAAATCAGTTGCTTATGGAGTGCCTCAAGGTTCATTGAATGATTGTTGTTCCTTTTCCCAGCGATACTTTGACAACTACTGATTTAATGTGCGTGGTTTTATACCACAGTATTGTTCTCAAAACTGTTGTCGACATAGTTTGTTATTTCGAAATCCCCTGGCCACCGTGTTGCAGGCAGGCGATTCTGAATTTTTTCTGAGAAGCGCCCAAGTGGTACTTGATCTTTTGCAGCAAGTCCTACAGCGAGTCCTACAGTCGGTAGTAAAAGCCCCAATAAGCAATTTTCTATCGGAAAATGTTTGCTTGACTCCAATTGTTTTGACAATGCAATGAAAACGACGCAGACCCCATTAAAAAATTTTGGAGACAAAATTTTCCGGGTGGCAAACAGCTAGAATTCTCTATATCCAGGGGGTGGCATGGAGTTGCTAAGGTCCTGGTTATTTATTCTATAAGATATACTGATGAACACTGACGAAACGCTGACGAACAATCCGGAAATTCTACAGAAAATTTCGCATTTTTATAAAGAATTGAGAGCTTTTTCTCAGTAAGTGGGTAAGGATTTGTTTGACAATTTTAGCAAAAGTTTGACACAACTTGACGTCATGCATATTCTTTTTGTGGTCGATCTGTGGCGCATGGGATGGTAAAGCTCTGACACGGAACGGCGCAGCTTCAGCATCGCTGTATAAAACCAAGTCGTACCAGTTGTCGTACCAATGCCGAACCGCATTTCTTCAGATAAAGAACGGTATGGCATGACGTATAAAATGATCCTAAGTTTTGAAACATTTTAATAGCACAGAGACCAATTGGTCTTGAGCTTTACAAACCACAGGTAAATATAAGAGATTTGGGTTTATTTCACTAAAATAATTTACTTAAAATAGAATCTTAGAAATCTGAGACATTTATGAAAGATATTTCGAGCATGGAATTGTCCGGAGCCATTTTGGAATGGCTATCCAGAGATATTAAGACTGACCAAAAACCGGCAACTAGTAAAATTTGGAATTGAAGAAAGATTTCGGAGTACAGATGTTGAAAAGCAAAGTTTTCACGACTTTCCTTGAAGACACACGATGGATATGAAGCCAAGTGGTTCAAAAAAGCTCAATTGATTGAAAGTTCTGGAAAAATTCCTCACAAAAATTTACGAGCTGACAAACAAAGCTAAACCATTGCGCTGTCTCGTGTTCTTGATACAATCTTTTATACTTTTAAGCATAAATAATTTTCCCATTTTTTGAAAAAGGTTAAAGGAATACCTCTAGAACTTAGGTTATATGCAGTCATAGCAGATTCCCATTAGGTACCTTCTGCTGTATTTTTACAAATGAATATTCGTTGATTCACACGATACCGGATTCATTTCGTATCGGATTCACTCTTGTTTACACTGTAACGCTACGCTTCAACACTGCTCCGAAAAATCTATTGTCTTTAAGCAGTTGCATAGCAACGTGGAATGTTGTTCCTTGTTTTGCTTGAAAAGAGCGCCAAACTGTTTTTTAAAACCCTGAAAAAGAAGCTGCCATTTCGAAACAGAGGTTCTGAGGCGAAACCGTATCAGATTCATGCGTTCACACGAGCTCAAAAGCGATTCGATATGATTCCATTCCACATTCACAGCGGAATGGTTTGACTCCGTAAAAACGATACGGAGCGTATCGGATTCAAATTTCATCGTGTGAACAGAAGGACTATCCGATATGAATAGCGATCCGATACGAAATGAATCCGGTATCGTGTGAACAGGGCTCATACATTTAAAAGGATTTACCTTGAGGACACTGATAGTGTCGTCGATAATAGTCAATATTTTGGTTCTGCAATAGAAAAAAGAATTCATTAGAGAAAAACAAAGCAAAAGAAGTTCTTAAAAACCTTATTAAATTTTATAAAATATGGCTATCGATTCAAAATTGTACTCTTAGATTTGAGTTTTCATTTTAGATTTCAAATGCATTCCACATTTTCTATATAATTTGATTCATGCTCAAACTTAAAAATCTAAGTTGCACCTGCCAACCTAAGCAGTTCATTTTAAATACTATTGTGTGAATATAAATTGCTAAAAAAGGAAAAATATCTATAACTACCATTAAATGATAAACGTGATAATTTTGGCAAAATAATATTATGCCAATAAAAAAGAATAATAAGGTTTTGAATCGTGTTCTCAAATATTGCTAGTGGGGAGAGGGGGGGGGGGATTGTTGTAAAAAGACAATGGACGCGAGTGACGTTTGAATAAATTAGAATCAATCATTGAGGAAGTAAACGAAAATCGGTTTTTGGAGCAATAAGAGAACTGAGACTGAGAGTTTGCATTATATACATGAGTTTATGTATCAAAAAGCCTTTGAAAAAACAAACATGAGTCATATTTAAGCCTTTCGTCTGACACTGTTGTCAGAACATAGATCAAACAACAAAGTATTTAGTTTAATTCATTTACACCCTAACACGCTTATCGTATTCTGATTGGATAATCAACTAATTCGTATATTGTTCATACATTTTACCATGGGAGTTGTTTATTTTTAATCGTATGGATTCTGAGTCGAATCAGGCAAGTGTAGATTTATGTATAGGATGAGAAAATGTGTTTGATACATTTATGTTGTGTTTATTGGAGATCCTCGTCAAATTATTCATTAAGAAATCCAATAACTTAGCCCATGTTAGACCTGATCAAACAACATTTGGAACCAAAAGCCTAATGTCAATCGGGCCATAGATTTGGAATGGCCTACCCAACGATCTGAAATCCACAGAAAAGTTGAGAATTTAATATAATAAGAATATAATAAAATTTTTATTAGTTTTTTCTAATTAATTTTAAGAAAATCTTATTCGTTTAAACAATGGGACAGACCGAATTGCAAATGTATTACCTGTCAGAATTTGTCAGTAATTGCAAGTTAATCTTTAACTTAGTATCTATAATTACTTCAATATACTAATTGGTAGCTATGTTCAATTTTGATTAGTCAACACTGTATATTTATGTATATGTTTTAAGCTATTGTTTTTATATCGAATGAAAATAAATTTACAACAACAACAGCAACAATAAACAGGCTATTGTGACACAACTCTGAGTTTCATGTGTGAACAATCATCAGGTGTAAGAAAGAAGGCAAACTAACTTCAAGCAAGATATAACGGTAAGAACGAATAATCGAACACAATAAAACGAAGTTAATTGTTAAGAATGATAAATCGTAACAACTGTTCTAAGATCGAAAATTGCTAATCAAAAGTTTGTTCTGGTGTCTATATTGGCTTATCAATCATGTTCTGTTAATAAGTATTTTATTGTCCCCTATAAATTGAATTATATAAAAATAAATTTTGTAAATTATGCCTGCCAGAAAAATTTTATATGTTTTCAGATGTTTTCTTTGACGTGATTCTGCCTCGCTGACGCTTGATGTCGTAAGTCTACCTAATTTATTTTCTGTCGTTGTCTACATTATACAAAATGCTGCCTGATAGCAAAACCTCGTGTTTTAGTTGTAGTTAAACCGAGGTGGCTGTCCTTATTTGTTTCTAATGCTAGAAGGAACATGCTGGTTTAATATATCCTCCAATTTTTGGGTTGTGTGTCCTACGTAGCAAAAATCACACTGGCACGAAAATTCATAAAAAACGGAACTTTTTTGGGTGCTAGGAATGCAGTCCTTTTGAATAGATCGGAGGGCCTTATTGAACCTGTAAACAGTACGCGGATTGACAGCAAAGAAACATTTTGTAATGGTCTGTTAAATCTGACTTTCAAATTTCAAGGAAATGTTTCCAATCTATGGTAGTGTTAGATAAAGCGGGCACTTTTGAGGACCAAATTTTACTTCAGCCAAGAAGCTACTTGCGTTTTTTCCTTATTGTGATGTAAACTGAAATGACATCCACTTGTAACGGTTTGGATTTTATATTTAATCGACTTAGTAATGTTCCCGTTGCGTGTTAAAGTCCCATGGTCTGTTGTTCTGTTAAGTCCTGTTGTGGTAATTAACGCCATTTTATGGCAATGTGTTTGTCTTTAAACATGTAGTGTGACGTTCGTGTTGCCTATTAATTAGCTCCGTTTATGTTATTAGGTTATTAGTGTGTGTTGGATCACGTTATGAGTTAGACCCCGTTTACACGAGAGCAGATCCGAACCCGATCGGATCCAAAAGAGTACGGATAGGCCTTGCGTTTACACAGGAACCGGTGGATCCGTATACTTTTGAATCCGCTATCCGAACACTTTTGGGATCGCTTTCAGAGGTGATCCCGTATGGATCCGGTCTGGACCGGATCCCGTGTAAACGGGTGGATCTAGTCCAGATCGGATCCGTCTACATTATTTGTCGAAAGTGAGACAGAATATTTTCCAATTCAAGGTAGTTTGAATATGTAGTCTATGGCTTTTTGGAGCCAGAAAACCGAACATCAAGTTGATAGACTACTGTGTTGAAGAATTATCACGAAACTTTGACGATATGTCGTCGTACTTCTGTATTTTCTCAATCCTGTCCACCTGCAAGCTTTGAAGTTTTGTAGTCCAATACTACTTTTAAAAGTAGCGAAGTTTCCTCTTCAGTCCACGAAAATTTACCCTTTTTAGCGTTACCCCCCTCCATGTTCAGGTTGAACTGTGTTTTTATCACGCATGAAATTCTGAAAACGTCATATGCGCGCCAATTTTGAAAAAGCGCATGCGCGTAACCAATTGAATTCATCTGGTTCCGTTCCCGTGTAAACGCAAATGGTTCTGGATCGGATCCCGTGTAAACGCATTGACATTTTAGGGATCGGATCCAAAAGTATCCGGATACTTTTGGATCCGATCTGGTCCAGGTCTCATATAAACGGGGTCTTAGTCTTCCTGTTGAATCATTAGAGTTAAGATCAAAGAAGGAGTATCTTTTGTGCGTTACTTGTTCGGGGCTTAGGCCCTTTGGCCTAGCCCATCGCTCCACCAACAAGCTTGGTTATTCACTTATTCTTCACCGTCATAACAAGAACCCTGATTGGTACATTTGGTGACAGAGGTGGATGGCGGTGAAGAGAAAAGTGGGTTGAAAGGAGAAGATTTTGCCGTTGACGTAAAACTTTTAACGAATGTCGATGTGAGATTTATCGTAAGGACTTTGGTTTTGAATTGATATTTTTGCACTTTGTTGCTGATTGATGCTGATCTGATCATCGCTGATTCCTGCTGATTGTTGCTGATTGTTGCTGATTTTTCCTTATTTTTGCTGATACCATACCAACTATGCTGATACAATCTTATAAAAGGAAAAAAACGTGGCGATCAATTTTTGGCGATCCTAAAAGACGCTTTTTTTGTATGTACAGTAGTTGTACATTATTTTTGCCGTTGTGTGGGAAATATGATTGCCGTTGATGCAATTTATCATGCTAAGTGCTTAACTGCATCATACATCAAAGTAAATCGTATACAGTTAGGTGATGATTCTGATAACACGGGGAAGAGGTTTCATGGAATTGCATTTGCTACGTTGATTGAGAAAATGAAATTAGGCCAGCCGAATGCTTAGTTATCAACTCGGAGTAGCAATAAACGGACGTGTACATAAACGGCATAGAGGTAGAGATCTATTCCTTTTTCAATTCCGAAATTGGCTGAACATTAGCAACTGGGTGTGACATATTTTGACGATCAAGCTGTCATTCTTGCTGAAGTAAGTATAATAGTGCGAATATACATACTGAATGATAACAAGCAAGAATTTGATGGCAAAATTGGATGAAAGTGCCAGAAGGAATATATGTCACAATCACTCAAAACATTAGTATCAATGGCTTTGGACGGTACGGATATTAATAGTCTGATAACCAGTCCAATGTTCAAGCTGTACTTTCTTTATCTCAGGTTATTATTTTCAATAGCACAATCAAACGACGACAGGGTTTAACATAATCCCGCGCATGTTTAAGAGTTTTTTATCAGGCTGAACATTTCTAGGGCCAGTCACTCGTGGCTGACCCTGTGTTTCATGTCCAGACAACTGGGAATGGGTAAAATCATCGGCTGGGGAGTATGAACTGTTTTGGAAAAATCTAACAGAAGCAGGGTGATATACTCTCCATGATTGTATAACCATTAGTCACAGAAAACCACAAGAAAATAATTTCTCACAAAAAAATCTTCAATCATGAATTAAGAATTCACAAGAAGAAACTCGATTTTGGAAAAAGCCATCATTCCTTGGTTAAAGGCCGAAACAACATCTCAAGCAGGGCGATGTAGGAAGTGGAAACATTTCTACTAATTCCTTTTTATATTTAACAAACGTTTAGACAACCCCTTTTTCATGATAATATCAATGGTAATATTTGTCTTTTGGTTGCCTATCGTTTGAAAAATTTGCTGATAACGTCAAATACAGGAATTATTCAATGAAGTTGTTGATAACACCAAAAGGTCTGCTTTGTGTTAGTCTGTCTCCAGCTTCTCTGGAATAACAAAGTTTTCATGGCATATTTGAGAATTTTGGATTTAGAAGATTTCAAAGTTTTTTCGTAGGAAATTTTTCTTCAGAAACTTTGTGATTACGTAACGCCCTGATTAAAAGCATCCTCGACATGCAGAGAACTGATAAGATGTGGATGCAATCCAGAAAGACTTTGGCTGCTATATATTCACTACTTAGATAGTATAGCTTACATCATGTGTTATAACTATATCTGTTGTTTTGTTCCCTTAAGCTTCATTGTTGATCTATGATAATTCCTTTGAAGTATTTGAACACCAGCCAAAATTTTAGGTATGACGTCATCATAACGTCATTGTGGCGTCATTTTGGCATAA